AGCCCAGCCTGGACTTCATTGTAATATTTTGCTTTGTCATTCCACGCTGCCTTTTGAAATCTTCTGTTCAGCTCTTTAGTATCTTAAATTCTTCCTTGTGCTTTGGCTTCTCTGTGCTCCAGTGCAATATTCAGAGTTTCTTCTGACATCCATTTTGGTCTTTTCTTCCTCTTCTGTCTTTGTAATGTTGTTAGGAGAAGTAATTCCTTCAAGTGGGACACCATGCTTGGAAAGGTAGAGGGCTGACTAGAGACCCTCAGTGAGATGGATTGACACAGTGGCTGCCCAGTGGGCTCAAGTGTGTCAGGGAAAAGGAAGGTAAGGATGGTGCAGGACAGGACAGGGTTCAGATCTGTTGTTCATAGGGTCACTATAAGTTATGCTTGGCTTGTCGGCACCTAACAATTGCCTCTGCAATTGTCGGCAGTGTGCCTCTGCATTTCGTAGATCTCAGAGGAAGTGCCTCTGGTGTTGACTGGCCTTGGATCTCTGGCTCTTCTTGGAGCAGAGTGTCCTTATCACCTCAGCATTCATTACATTTATGTAGTTAGCTGTTCAGTAACCCCAGTTTTCCTTGGTGTTACCAGTGGAGCTGTGGCTTTACTGGAATAGGTACTTGCTTTCACTGGTCCTCCTAGCAGGGCAGTACTAGGTTTGCCACAGAATAGATGACTCACACCTTGCTTATTTTTAGAAACTCCTTGCTTTCCCTCTTGCATGTGTATATGGTTGTTGAAGTGGCAAAGAAAAGAGTTACCCAATGTTGCCAGAAACTAGCCTGTTCTAATCTGTCCATCTTTTCACTGGGCGCCTCGATGGCATCCTGTAAAGTGTTCCTGTTCTGTTGCCTTCTGATAACACTGCCTACAGAAGGACCTCTGACTTTGAGGTAGGATGTCACAGGATGGGTCTGTGTCCTCCTCACTAAGCCAATTGTTGTCCCCTGGGAGTCTCTTAAACTGTGGCAGTGTCCACATTGTGCCAGCCACTTAGACCTTTGTGGGAAGTATTTGGTTACACTTAAGAGAATTGTAAAAATTATTCGGGATTCCTGGAATGTTTGAAGGACCTTCTGCCAATTCTTGTAAATTTTATGGATCATTTGGGTGTATTCCATGTTTTCCTAAGGCCTCTTGAGTAAGCTGGGCGCTACCATAGTGACTGATGGTGTCTGACTTCATAAATTTCTAAAATGGATTTCTTATTTTAACTACGGTTGGTCATGTGTGTAAAGTGTATGGGACGTTCTGCACTGCTCCCACAAAGCAGTGGATATGGGGAACATTGAGGAGCAGACATCTGGGTCTATCCCTCACACTGAACAGGAAGCAAACATTGAAGAAAACTCAGATATAACCACACTTGTGTGTCTAGAATATTGCACTGATATCTGGGCCAACAATCAGTTTTTCTCTGGTTCCCTTGAGATGAGGGCAAATAGCCTACATCACGCAGGGTCTAGTCCAAAAAGAGGAAACCAGAGCAATTCTTTTAACAGACAATGTAGCATAAACACCTTGCTAAATCAGCTGTTGGAAAGCTAAAAGAGAATGAAAAGATATGGTGGTGGGAGTTTCTACTGGCCCCTCAGCACTAACTTTAAGCTACTGACATCACTAGATTTGTGGAATCAAAGAGCAGAGATTGGAATCATCGGGATTTAAGACTGAGAGGAAGGGACCCTGGTTGAACCATGCTGGGATCTGTAGGGAGCATATGACCAGGCATTCTGCAGGTTATGGAAAAACCACAAAAAGGATTTGACTGTCCCTAGAGAAGGGAACTGTCAATGTCTGATAAAGCGAGCACTTCCAGAAAGAAGTGCTCTTCCATGGTGAAGAGAAGCTGGGGTGAAGCTGACTGGAAGGCACAGCCAGCCCCTTCTCCCTCCTCCAGCCTTTCTTTCTATTGAAGGTACCCAAGAGACCCACTGCCAAGCGGGGATAGCCTCCGTATCACAGAGCTGACTGTAGAAAGGGTTTGAGCTGAACAAGAGCTTAATAACCAGCTCTGGAGGCCCCTTCCCTTGGAAGCCAGAGACTCTCATTTTGAAGCACAGTCCCTCAGTTTTGTCTTTTCTTCCAAGTCTGGCTCCGTCTTTCCTGTGCAGTTAGGTGGACTCGGGAGCTGGTCATGTGATAATGTTCCAAAGGATTAATTATCTACGCATAAAGAAGCAATGGAGCAGAACATTATGGGAGGATTTTCAAGATTCGTGTCATCATTGTTTCAAATCTGTTCCTGCAGAGTTGATTAGAATTTTAATTCTGTGTATAGGAGGCCCTGACGTCAGGCAGGTGAATTGGCAAAATGGCAATTTTAGCATCTGTGTCAAGTAGTGATCAACTGGCTTGCAATTGAGAGCGGCCTTGAAGTTGAGTATACAGCCCAGTGAATTGTCACAAAGGGAACACACCTCTGTAACCCTCATCCACAGGAAGAAATAGACCATGACCACCCAGAAGCCCCAGCTCCGCAGTCACTGTTCCTGTCTCCTTCCCGGAGGCAGCCCCTCTCCTGACTGCTGACGTCAGAGAAAGTGTGCCTTGCTTTGAATATTAAGGTTAGACTTGAAGGACAATTGATTGTTGCCCAGGCGAAGAAAGGAAAAGAGGGCATAGGAAATGGCATGGGCACAGAACAAAGCAAGGATGAGCAGAGAAAGTGGATGGTGGTGGTAGGGGTAGGGCGACCAGGGAAGATGGCCACTGCGTCAAACATTCCCCTGGTTCTGGGGATTCTTTCTCTGTGTCTCTCACACTCTTGCCATCTCACGCACTCTGCCTTTCACACACAGTATCCTGTCTCTCTCTCTGACTGTCTTCAAGGGACTCTGTAGATAAAGGTGGCTCTTATCTTTTCAGGGTCCTTTCTATAGACACTGAAGACTTAACAAAATGTATGCTGTAAAGACCTACAGTGTTGTCTTTTTTGTTGGGTTTTTGTTTTTTTTATAGCTTGAGCTCTTTGAAAATCCTTTGCTTCATTTTCTTAGAACAGTGGGGTAGAAAAGATCGAAAGAGTGCTCTTTGCAATTTCACCAGCAATCCTGGCAGTTGGCTTGAAAGGATTTTAAGGTTCTTGGCCTCAAGTGTTACCCTGCTGGGCCAATCTTAAGGTCAGCTCGTCTCTTCTTGAGGCAGCCTTCAGGTAGCTCTCCCCACAACTCTGACTTCCCTGTCTCAGAGATTATTTGATCTGTCTCCGGGGGGCATCGGCTGTGGGCATGAACTGCCCACGATGCCTGCTCAGACCTGGACAGGAGTGGATATGGAGATGGGGAGATAGCACGTTCTATGGGGCCAGGAGGAGGCTTGAGGTTGGGCTAGGGTTAATGAAGAAAGCATGAAGAATGCCTACCTGTGTGTGAGAATCCACGGACGGAGGACCCTCCCAGTGGTGGTAGTTTGAGGGTGTCTGTGACAAGTCAGCTCTCAACCAGCAATGACTCCAGTTTAAACATGTTTGATGTGATATGTGACATTTTCTGAGGCTCTGAGGTTGAGGCTGAGAGCTGATTTGAACTCAGCTGGCCCAGGAATAAGCTGTCGTTGAGTCTGTGTATGAGCCCCAGTATCTCCAGGCCACCTTTTTCGTGTGGACATGGGAGGGTACAGAAGGCCTGAGTACTATCACCTCTCTTATTGATTGCTCTTGAAAGGGACACCTTTTTTGATAACGTGGGAGGATTTGCTGGCAGTCCCTTGGGGTCCAGAAGACATCACACACCTGCTGTAACCTGCTCACCTTGATCAGTTTCTCTTTTTTCTACCTCTGCCCTGTGGCATTGAGCAGTAGATCATCCAGATGGCTTTGTCTCTCACCCTGAACTGAAAGACCCAGTTGGGCTGGGGCTTTTGCTCAGAGAGTTTCTATGGCAGCTGGGAGGGATGGGGAGTAGATATTCAAAGCTGTTAGGTTGGTAGCCTCACTCAGGGCCATGGAGACGATTCCAGTAAAGTCAAGTCCTGCAAATCAGTGTGGAACCTTACTTGCTCACAAAAGAAAAACTCGCATATCACATATCGTGGACAGGCAGTTGTCACTATTTGCTCATTTAGACACCTAGGTGTTTTAGACATAGTCTTTTCTTCCCTTTCATTAACAAGAACTGCTTTTAAAATCAGCTTTTAAATAGTGATAGCTTTATTTCCCGCCCCCAGTAAACTGCACTGTATGCTCTAAGTAAATGTGTTAAAAATTGAGAGTGTGGCTCCTATGGCAACAGAGATATCCCTTCCCCTCCTCTGTCTCCCCCAATATCCCCTTCTGCAGCTTTGGTATTCAGTGCCAGTGGAAGAGGCCCTGCCACTCTTTTTAGAGGAACATTCTAGGGTCACATGGGACCCAGGCAGTGGGGTTCAGGAAGCAGGTGGCCTCTGTCCACCACCCTGGCTGAGCAGGACCTGAGAGGCAGGCTGAGTCTTGAAAAGTGGCAGAATTGACTTCCCTGAGGGCTGGTGGCTCTGGTTCAACAAGGTGAGGCCAGTTCCTCACTGACAGGCAGTATGTGGCGGTGAGCGTGGCTGCGTGAGCATGTGTATGGAGACCTCAGACACCAGGCATGTGGCCTTTTCCTGCCAAGGTGGGCTACTTCCTCACAAGAGCTAGGGCTCAAAGGCACTGGCCTCTCAGCCAAGATGGTCTTTGTGTCCATTTTCAGTGTTCAGACAGCTAGCCTTCAAATGATCCTAGAAGCCCCTCCTAGGCAGCTGAGCAGGTACTAGGCTCCTTGACCCTACTGTGCTGGCTGGTTGCTCAGAAGTATATCTTTTCTGAGCTTAAGAGAGGAGCCAAGGGTACTCATTACCAGAAACCTTGGAGTGAGTAGTTCCTGTTACCACATTACCTCTTCTGCTACAGCCCGAGGGTGCCAGTCCTCCATAGCCTCCAGCTCTCCTTCCCCAGTTGCTTCTAAGTCAATTCCAGTGCCTGTGTGAGTTAAATGCATCATCACAAACTACTGCTCTCTTACACCCAGTTCCCTTTCTATCTTGCAGGTGCTTGGATTTGAAATCGACGCCCTTAACTCTGTGCAGTTTTCAAACCACACAGGTAATACTTTGGCCATAGTTAGAGATGGAGTTGTGATTGCCTTGTTATACTAAGGGGAATGAAACATTCTGAGGCCTTAGATGAGCGCACTCAGGGCTGCCATGACTTAAGTATCGCAAACCAGGCTTCTCAAAGCAAAACAGCATGAATGTGTTCTTTCATGGTTGTTCAGTTCTAAAAAATCTCATTGCTGTTGAGTCAAAACTGACTCATTGTTAACACTCAATTGGGCGTCTGAGGCTGTACATTGACCGAGAGGAAACTGCCCATCTTTCCTCTGAGAAGCAGCAGGTAAATTTGATTTGCCATAAAGGTGCAGCCTACTCTCTGTATAGACGATGCCCCAGAGGTCCCTTTCTGGAGAGAAAAGTCTAAAATCAGGGTGTCCATGGGCCATGCTCCCTCTGATGGCTCTAAGGGAGCTCTGGTGGCCTAGTGGTAAGGAGCTGCACTGTTAACCTAAAGGCACGCAGTTTGAATCCACCAGTTACGAAGGAGAAAGGTGGGCAGTCAACTCGCGTGCAATTTATTGCCTCTGCAAACCTACTGGAGGGTCAACTATGGGTCAGTTCTGACTCAGGGGTATTCAACAACAACATTATAGGGAGCTCTGGTGGTTTGGTGGTAAGATGCTGTGCTATAATTCCAAGGGTATACAGTTTGAATACACCAGCTGCTCCTTAGAAGGATGGACAGTCTTCCTGCGTAATTTACTGCCTTTGAAAACCCAATGGAGGTCAGCTATGAGTTGGTTCTGACTTGGCACACAACAAATTATACATATAAAATTTACTCTCCATTGAAGTTGATTTGGGACTTTTTATCATTCAAGGCAATTTTTAAAAAGTTATTAATTTCAATGAAAATTTACAGAGACTTTGCGTTTCCATTCATTCATTGTTGCACTATTCTACCTTCCAACCCTCCCCCCTAGTACACTACCCTCTTGGAAAAGTAAAATTCTTTGTTTTACAAACCCTCCCCCAGGTCCACTCCACTATGCAGCCTTCGCTCTGGACTCCTGTCCTAACAAAAATACCTAATCACATATCCCTTTTAAACAGTTTTCTCCCTCATCTGTTTCAATGCAGTATATATTATTGAACTCATCTTTCTCAGTCTCTCCCCAACCCCGATGTCGTTCCAATAGTGGCACCATGCAGTATTTGTCCTTTTGTGACTGAGATACTTCACTCAGCATAATGTCCTCCAGGGTCACCCATTTTGTATACTACTTCATGAGTTCCTTGTTTTCAGTGCAGCGTAGTATTCCATTGTGTGAATATACCAGTTTCTCTATTCATTTGTTTGTTGATGGGCACATATGTTGTTTCCAACTCCTTGCTATTGTGAAGAAAGCCGCGATAAAAGTGGGTGTGCATATATATCTGCTTGGATGTCAGTTATGGTCTCTTTGGGGTATATTCTCAGTAGTGGAATTGCTGGGCCAAATGATATCTCTATTTGCAACTTTTTGAGAAAGTGCCATACTGCCTTCCACAGTGGTTGCACCATTTTACACTCCCACCAACAGCGAAAAAGAGTTCCAGTTTCTCCAAACCTTGCCAGCATTTGTTGCTTGCTGTTCTGCTAAATTTTGCTATCCTGACTGGAGTGAGATGATAGCTCATAGTTGTTTTAGGGACATTTCTTAAACAGTTGTGCAGTGTACATCACTACACACAAATTCCTAGAATGGAATGGAAGATCGAAGCATGAACATTTGGAAACTCAGATTTATTTCTGAGTGTTGTGCTATAATCAACATAAACGTAGTTGTCTCAGACTCCTTTGCCCTAGGATTCCAGGATGAGGGGACCCCCTGGCCTGACAGGTCAGTGAGCTGGGCTTGGGTCCCCTCTCGGCCCACTTTGAGCCTTGTTAGTTGATGGGGAACTGGTGATCTCAAAGAGAATGTCCCCAGTCTAACTCACTTACCATACTAGAGGGTGAGATAGTCTGGTTTTGATTTGGATTTCTCTGGGTTGATCATGTGGCATACCTGTCACATGTTGAGCAGAGGTCACATTTAAGTCTGAAGCCACAGAGTCCAGCTTCCTAGCTGAACAGGGGGTAGAACACTTTGTCTAGAAAGGCCAGATAGTAAACACCTTGACCTTAGTAAACAAAAGGTCAGCAGTTCAAACCCCCCCAGTGGTGAAGAAATCTGGTGGTCTGCACCTGTAAGCATCACAAGCCTAGGAAACCTCATGGGGCAGCTCAGTTCTGCAATGTAGGAAAGCTTCAGATGATGCTGCCATTGCTGGCCATGGCTAGGAAGGGTCCACGTTAATTAGGGTCCAGGGTCAGGAGGTTTGGGGAATTGAGAGAGACTGAGGAAACTGTCAGCGGGGCTGGCATAGCCTTGGTGTCCTGAGGCAGGACTTCCACTGTGCTGGAGTTTCCAAGGCCAAACCCAGCTTTAGGGATTCACTGGGAAGACTCAGCTGGAGTCCTACTCACAGCTGTGATTTTACCCAATAAAAGCACACTGATCAAAATGAGCAAAAAGAAGGCACAGCAGAAGTCTAGGGATACTTTGCACAAGCAAAGTCCTCTTCCTGTAGAGACAGCAGACGAGCTTAGTTCTGCAGCAAGGACTGTGGCATTGCCTGTGAAGAAGCATCTACCAGCAAAGCTCATCAGAGGCCCGGTTTTCAGGGTCTTTATTGGCACTGGCCACACAGGTATCCTCTGTGTGGTATGTACCACAATTCCATGGAGGAAAGCAGGGTTCAGCTACACTTTACACACAGTGGACCTCAATGAAGGGACCCTTTCTGAAGTTCAGGTTCCCAGACTTCAGCCCAGGACCAACCATGCACATGTCCTTTCTGAGTGTCATGTGAGCTCTTGTACACATCCTCCTGCCCACTCCTCCAGTGCCCCCTAAGGTGGGTAAAACCATCCCCTGTTCCTTTTCTACCTCAGAGCTGTTCCTCTGGGCTCTCAAGGAGAGCAACACCAGCTTTTAAGGGATCTGTGCTCTAACTCTGGTCGGAATCCCTCAGTTACTACTCAAGCTTACTGTGGCCGAAGATTCCTGCTCTGGGGAATTCTGAAAGGAGCATGACTTAGCCTGGTGTTTGGACAGACAGATCTAGTGTTGGTAGGTAGAGGACAGCCACTGAAGGTGATGGTGGGTTGGAGCCGACCCCACAGGGCTAGAGAGGGAAGCTGAGGACTGAGGAGGAGGGACAGGCCGGCAGTGAATCAAGTGCCAGGACTACTCCGAAGTGGAGGGTGGAGAGCAGCTGTGTTCCTTAAGGTGACTTGGCCTCTCTGTACTCTTCTATCTCTAAGCAGAATAGTTGACCAGAGGCTCTGAATTTACTCTCTTCCTGCCCTGGAAGGACCTTGTCACCCTGAGCCTTTGTAAGCCATGGGGCTAGACAAGAGGGTGCTAACGAGGTGTGAAATCTGAGCATCCCCTTACATAATTAGGGAAGGGCATTGCTCTGCTCTGGGAAGGTGCTGGCCCTCTCTCCTTCTTTCCTGCGCCTACACATTGTGTTCAGCTCAGTGTTGTTGGGAGAATGTCTGGAAATCCAAAGAACCATTCTTCCCACCTCAGGTCATTGTGGGAGTCTCAGGCTTTCCTAGGGCTAAACCACTCCCCACCCCCACCCCGTCAGCATCAAAGACAGGCCAGGACCAGAGGGGATAGGACTTTCAGTTCACCTTGTTAAACAAACACCTACCCTCATTTGACAGAGATCTCTCGGTTTCTGCTCTCAGCATGGGAGCATGGTGGCCATCCACCCAAATAACAGGACCTTCCCAGAAGTGGAATGTGTTTTTACCTGTGGCCTTGTTTTATCTGTCAGTCTGGGGTTGTTAGTGGCCAAATGGCCAGGCTCTTAGCTGTAGTCCATATCATGGCCTCTGCGGGCCCCATCCACTGTGGTTCTGACTGCAGCCATCCTTTCCTCAGGGCCTGGAGGCAAAAGATGACAGTGGTGCACATTAGTACAGCCACATTGTCACATACAACAGGGACCGTGAAGGGACTTAGCTATTGTCAGGCTTGGGCAAGGAGCCCACTGATGGTCACCTTAGGCCCCAGAGCTTTTTCTCATCTCGGTGCAAGAGTTACAGGGTTCACAGTCTCACTGAATCTGAGACCACTCCTCCCCCCACAAGGAAATACAGTGCTTTTTATTTCCACATTGAACTTCCCTTATTCATGGGGCCTTTGGTTTCCTCTGGTGACAGAGGGACTGAGGCTTAATCCTCAGTCCTAATTCTTTCTGAAAGTTGGAAGATTTTGGCACCTCCATCTTAGCAAGTGCCAGCGTGGATCTGCCCGGTTGCCTGGTAACGTGGAGGCAGTTCCTTTCCTCATGCTCTTCCTCTTTCTCCTTACGATGATTGCATCTGTGTTGCCGCTTGGTTACAACATAGGGACTGTTGGAAAATTCCAGAGGGCCTGTAAGGTCACTTCAAGGCCACTCAATACAAGTCATGTTAAAAGGCCTTTTATTCTTTATTTTGTATTGAGTTGTATGAAGGCCTCAAGCTGAACAACGTGAACAAGTATGACTACGTGCTCACGGGTAAGAGTAACAGTGATTTCAGTACCAGCGCCCTGGTGAGCGTTGTATGAAAGTCTAAAAATCAAAGGTCTTGGATTGCGTGTAAATATTTTTATTGTATATACTGTGGAGTTGGAACCGATCCATAGCTGCTCCTCCAGCAGGTTTTCAGAGATAGTAAACTGCACTGGAAGAGCTTGCTTCGGAATATACAGGAAATAAGGGAGTCTACCTTGGTGGGTTGGTGGTAAGAAGCTGCTCTGCAATCCCGAAGGCTCACGGCTCGAATCCACCAACTGCTCTGCAGGAGAAAGATGGGCAGTCTCCTCTCGTGAGATTTATTGCCTCTGAAGACCTACTGGAGGGTCGGCTATGGCTTGGTTCCAACTTGATGGTCCATTACAACAGCACAACCTTTCCAAGTAACTCCCTTTAACCTAGAACAATATTCCTTTCGTCTGAGAAAAGGCAGATCTCCTGTGCAGCAGATCTAATCTATTTAGGATCGATGGTCCTTGTCATTATAGAAAAATAGGTACAAGATTCAATAGCTTATGTCTAGAAATATGATTAAGGAAGAAATAAAACTCAACCTTCTCATTGCTGACCCTCCAGCTGGTTTTCTGAGGGCTTTAATAATCATGTGAAGAGATTGTGGAGGCTCAGAAGACCCCTTGTGGTGTCAGGGATACAGGGCTGGTTTTTCAAAGGAACAATGCAGAGTGCCTGGTATGGCTTCACCTGGTGTGACCTGGTCTGTTCCTCTGAGTGGTACCAAAGGACACCTTGAGTGCTCAGGGTCCCACGTCACCCTGGGGAGGCTGCTGCTTGCACATCATCATATCTGTCTTGTGGGGGATTATAGAGAACCTCATATCCAGGATCTGGTCAGGGCCTCAGGCAGGTGCACAATATAGGGGCCGCAGTTCATTCTGCAGTAATGCCTGATTGTGGTTTATTCTGATCCACATGATCTCTGCTAGCATCCTTGGAAAACTAGTTTTCCGTGTAACAGGCTTACCTCATGGGGCCAGGTTGCAGGCCAGGGGAGATAATGAGCCCCATCTTCTGCTGCCTACTGTCATCGTTGATTGCATGATTCAGCTACCCTATGAACAAAAGACCTGAAGCCTTTCTATAACTATTGTTCATAGTTTCCAGAGGCATGTTGTTGAGGAAGTGGATGCCACTCTACTTGTTATGTGCCTTTGAGTCACTTGCGACTCATAGCGGCCCTATGTACAACAGACCTAAACTCTGCTCTGTCCTGTGCCAATCACACAGTGTCTCTGACACTCCCATCCCGATTATCCCAGTCACTGAATCAATCCACCTCATAGAGGACCTTCCCCTCCTGTGGTGTCCCTCCACCCTCCCAAGCATTGTGTCCTTCTCCAAGGACCGATCCCTACTGTCATTAGGTGCCATTAAGTCGAGTACAACTCGTATTAATTCTATGAACCCAAACCTTGCCCTGTCCTGTTCATCCTCCTGATGACACACTTGAGCCCATTGCTGCAGTCACTGCATCAGTCCATCTCGTTGGGAGTCTTCCTCTCTTTTGCTGACTTACATCTTTCCAAGTATGATATCCCCTTCCAAGAAACAGTTTTCCCTAGCAACATGCTCAAAGATGAGAGACCTAGCTTCACCGTCCTTACCTCCAAAGAGCACTCTGGTGGGAATGTGACATGTGGAGTAACAACTCCCTGAGACATGGTCACCAATGATGGGTGTTTCCAAGATGTTCCCATGCCCAGATAAAGGTGAAGTGATTCCCTCAATGCTTTAGGCTGGCCCAGGAGCTTGTCGGCCTTGATTGGTTGAGTACTTTGAGAAGGACCTGAGCATGAGCCCATTGGGTGGGGACTGATGATGCCAGTATTAGTAGTAGTGACCCCAGAAAGCTGAAAGGCACACATGGTCTCATGGGACAAGGTGGGCACAGATACAGACAGGCAGCTTGTTCTGGCCGTGTGCCCTGCATCAGCCCCATGACTGCTACCTCCATCCCTCAGAGGAGGGGATTGTGCACCTGTCATCAGAGAAACTGTATGTTGTGTGAACTGTACTTGACTACATGCCATGTCAATGTCCTGAGGGTCCTGCTCTTCCCTCAGGATATGCCCACTGGAAGGGCCAAGTGCTGAACTCCGACGAGCTCCACGAGTTGTATGAAGGCCTCAAGCTGAACAACGTGAACAAGTATGACTACGTGCTCACGGGTAAGAGCTCACAGCAAGTTCAGGGCAGGGTGCCTGTGTGCCTGGATCTGGTCAGGGTGGGATGGGGAAGTGCTCAAGCGTCCTCAACTTCACCTCACATGCCCCTCAGGGAAGGACAAGAGTGTGCCCTAAAAACTCACTGGTGCTCAAGGGACCATCACACTCCAGTAGCCTTGGAGTTCTGATGACTGTCCTGACTGTGCCAAAGCCTGCCATACCTGAGACCTTTGCTCTTCAGAGGGACTGATGGGGTGTTGGGGGAGGCTGCTCAAGTGGGACTGAAGACATGATGGTAAGAAAAAGAAATTTTAAGCAAAATCATATTGGTTTTGTTTGTGAACTACATGCCAAAACCAATTGCCATCTTTAACCAATGCACACTCATGACGACCCCATGTTGGTCAGAGCAGAACTAGTTTCGTGGGGTTTTCAGTAGCTGATTTCATCATAGTAGATCTCCAGGCCTTTCTTCTGAGGTCCCTCTGAGTGAACTCAATATCCGGACTTTCAAGTTAGCAGCTGAATCTTTTGGGCAACTGGGATGGGCACTTGAATGCCTTGTAGTTTGTGGCCTTTGTGGACTGCCATGGTGTGAGTCATGGATTACTCCCCACAGGCTACACCCGGGACGCATCCTTCCTGGCCATGGTGGTGGACATCGTGCGGGAGCTGAAGCAGCAGAACTCCAGCCTCGTGTATGGTAGGTGCTGTCCCACTGCTGGGCACAGGACTGGCCCAGAACTCCAGGGCTCGTGCCCCAGTCCCCTTCCTTAGCCGCCGCCACTATGTCCCCCCTCCCCTTTCCCTGAGCTCTATGTCTATTGGGTGCAAAGATGTGGGCCTTTGAACCCTAGAGACTTCCTAGGGGCTAATCAGTGTTAATGAGCCTGGTGGGATGTCAGTAATCAATGTCAGTTATTAAGGCCTGACATGGCCCAGTCCCCGCAGCTGTGAATAGTGTAGCCACCATTGACCACAAAGAGAAAAAGGGGTGGGGTGCTACCCCGGCAGAGCACATGGCCAATGCAGATCCACGTTCAGGCCCATCTGACCTGTGGCCACTGTATAACAGCATGGTGACAGAGCCGTCTTGGTAAATGACAGTAAATACTCCTCCCCTTTGATTAAGCCTGTGTCCCCAGTTGTTAGGGATCCCCCAGCAGCCAATGTGACCCTCTATGTCCGTGCACAGCGACCTGGCTGTCAGGACGTGGCTATGTCTTGGGTCTGCAGTGTTTGTGCTTCCCTCAGAGGCCTCAGCAGCAATGAACCTGCTTTTTCTTTCTTTCTTTTTTTTTTAAATTTATTTTAATGAAAATTTAGAGAGACTTTGGATTTCCATTCATTCATCGTTGCACACTTTCCTCCCTTCCCACCCCTCCCCCCCTCAGTTCACTTTTCTCTTTGAAAAGTAAAAAAAAAAAACACAGTTCTTTCATTGTTATACATTCTCCCCCTCCCCCTAGGTCCACTCCACTATGTAGCTTTCATTCTCGACTTGTCATGACGATAATACCTAATCATATATTCCTCCTAAATAATTCTCTCCCTCATCTATTTCAATGCAGTATATATTACTTATCCCCACTTAGATTCCCCTGAACCCTGATGTCAGTCCCGTTTTACAACAGTGGCACCATGCAGTATTTGTCCTTTTGTGACTGAGATAGTTCATTATGGTGACATAATGTCCTTCAGGGTCACCCATTTTGTATATTATTTCATGAGTTCCTTGTTTTCAGTGCAGCATAGTATTCCATTGTGTGAATATACCACAGCTTCTCCATCCATTCATTTGTTGATGGGCACTTGGGTTGTTTCCAACTCTTTGCTATTGTGAACTAAGCCGCAATAAACATGGGTGTGCATATATCTGCTTGGGTGATGGTTATGGGTGTATTCCCAGTAGTGGTATTGCTGGGTCAAATGATATTTCTGTTTCCAACTTTATGAGAAAGCGCCATACAGCCTTCCATAGTGGCTGCACCATTTTACACTCCCCTCAACAGTGAATAAAGCTTCCGGTTTCTCCACAACCTCACCAACATTTGTTGTTTGCTGAACTTACTTTTTCACCATAGAGGAGGCATTGCAGTGTCAGCCCCATCTCTGAGATGAATGCTTCTCTCTCAGGAGCCAGGACTCCCTGACACCTGTGGTCCTCAGACATTGCTAGTCTAACTGATACCTGAAAAGGGCAAACTGCCTATCCACACTGTGACCATTGCCCAAGCATGGCTTGTGAGAATGGATGGGCTGGGGTCCAGGCAGGGAATGGGCTGCTGTGCCCCTCTGACAGATACTAGACCATATTCACCCTTTGGAGAGATGTACAATTGACAATAAATCAAACAGAAATTAGCCATAGCACTTGGTAGTCTTGGACAATGAGAAATGCAGCATCACAGGATAAAGGGTGAGAGTGGGTGACAGTGTCCCCCTAGGCTTGCAGTTATGCATTAATATGCACATGGAATTAGAAAACAATGTCAAGACCTTGTTACTTGTCATGACCACTTTGGTGATAAAATGCCTTGTGTCTCCTGCAGTGTGCGACCCAGTGATGGGAGACAAGTGGAATGGTGAAGGCTCAATGGTGAGTAAATCTGCATGAACTTACCTGCCATGAGGCAGTTGTTTCAGCTCCTCTCAAACCCGGCTTGTTGTGAGCTCTTCTTGACCTAACTCCTGACTGTTATTGTCACTTGCTGATTTTTATTAAAAAAAAAAGTACCAAGCCTTTCTTCATCTTAGTTTGGAAGTTCTGCTATATCTGTTCAGCATCATAGCCACATGACAACATCCACTAGCAAATAGTTTGTCACTGCTGATGTCAGAGGCATCCTGGCTAAAAGAAGAGAATACCAGAAGAATGTCTATTTGTGTTTTAATGATCATACAAAGCATTTGATTTTGTGGATTGTAATAAATTATGGCTAGCATTGAGAAGAATGAGAATCCTAGAACACTTGATTGTGCTCATACAGAATCTAGACCAAGAAGCTATTGCCTAAACAAGGGAACATTATTACATGGTTTAAAACCAGGAAGGATGTACATCATGGTTGTATTCTCTCTCCATACTTATGAATCTGCATGCTATAGTTCCCAACAGAGTGTGGAAATTATTGAACAATATCATTGGTATCACATGCAAGCAAGATTCTTCAGAAAATTGTCCAAAAACGTTTGTAACAATATGTCAACAGAGAACTGCCAGATTTGCAGGCTGGATTTAGAAGAGGTTGCGGTACTAGGGATATTATAGCTAATGTTAGATGGATCTTGGCAGAAAGCAGAGAATACCAGAAGAATGTCTTTCTGTGCTTCATTGACTATGCGAAGGCTTTTGACTGTGTGAATCACAACAAGCTATGGCTGACCCTGCCAGAACATTTGATTGTGCTAATGCGAAACTTATACTTGTACCAAGAGGCAGTCATCAGAACAGAGCAGGGAGACACTGGACGGTTCAAAATCAAGACTGTTCAAAATCAAGACGGTTCAAAAAAGAGAGGAGTCTGTCAGGGATGTATGTTGTCTCCATAACTTTTCAATCTGCATGCAGAACAGATCATCTGAGACAATGGGCTATACGAGGAGGAATGTGGCATCAGGATTGGTGGAAGAATCACCAACAACCTGTTATGCAGATGACACAACCCTGCATGCTGAAACTGAGGAGAACCTGAAGCACTTGCTGCAGAAGGTCAAGGACTGCAGCCTTCAGTGTAGATTTAGGCTCAATATCAAGAAAACAAAGATTCTCACCACTGGGCCAATTGGCAGCATCAGTATGGATGGTGAAGAGACTGAGATAGTTAATACTTTTAGCTTACTTGGTTCCACAGTCAACACTCTTGGTAACAGCAGCCAGGAAATCAGGAGACTAATTGCATTGAGAAAGTCAGCTGTGAGGGACCTCTCAAGAGTACTGAAGTGCAACGACGTCAGGCTGGAGACTAATGTGCACCTGATCCAGGCTATAGTCTTTGCAATTACGTGCTATGCATCAGAGTTGGACAGTGAATAGGGATGATAGAAAGAGAATGGATGCCTTTGAGCTGTGGTGCTTGAGAACAGTGTTGAATATACCATGGACTGCTAGGAGAACAAACAGGTTTGTCCTGGAGAGGGTGAAGCCAAAATGTTCCCTGAAATCAAGGATTCTGAAGCTTCGTCTGACATACTTTGGGCATGTTTCAAGGAGGGACTGGTCCTTGGAGAGGGACATCATGTTTGGGATAGTGGAGGAACGGCACAGGAGAGGAAGACCTTCGATGAGATGGATCGATTCTGTGAGTAGAGTGATGGGAATGAATGTGTTTGAGAAAGCGAGGTTGGCACAGGATAGAACAGTGTTTAGGGCTCTTGTACATAGGGTCGCTATGAGTTGCAAATGACTCGATGGCACATAACAACAACAACATAGTTCATGAAGCCAGAGAGTGAAACCAGGGTTTCTCTTTGGAGGCACGGATTTTGAAGCTGTCATACTTTGGGCATGTTGCAAGGAGGGACCAGTCCTTGGAGAGAGACATCATGCTTGGGAAGAGAGGAAGACCCTTGATGGAATGGGTTGACTCAGTGACTGGGGTAATGGGGGTAGGTGTGTCAGAGAAAATCTAAGGTTGGCAGAGGATAGAGCAGGGTTCAGAGTTGTTGTACATGGGGTTGCTGAGTCACAGATGCCTTGATGGCACATAACAATAACAACAGGCTCTATGAAGAAGAATGTGGCATCAGGATTGGGGGAAGACTCATCAATAAAACCTGCGTTTTGCAGGTGATACAACTTTGCTTACTTTCTGCTGAAGATTAAGGACTATAGCCTTCAAGATAGATTACATCTCAACATCAAGAAAAGAAAGGGAGTTCTGGTGGCCTAGTGGCAAAAAGCTGCACCGCAATCCCAGAGGTACATGGTTCAAATCCACCAGATGTTCTGCTGGAGAAGGAGGGGCAGTCTCCTCCTGTACCAGTCAGATCTGATTTGATTGATGGTACACACACAAAAAAATAATAAAATAAAATTTTAAGAAAAGAAAGGTCCTCACCACAGAATCAACAGTCAGCATCATGACAAATAAAGGATTGAACCTTTCATTTTGTTTGGATCAACAGTCAACACCCCTGGTTCCAGCAGTCAGGAAATCAGGAGACATACTGCATTTTGCAAGTCCCTGTCCTCTCCAAAATGCTGAAGAGCAATGATGTCACTTTGAAGACTGAGGTGTGCCTGTTTCAGGCCATGGTCTTCTCAATCACCTGTTTTGCATCTGAGATCTGGATAATGAATAAAAATGACAGAAGAATTGGAGAATAGTAGTGAATATCCCATGGACTACCAAAACAACAGAAAACATTTGGAGAAAGTTCAGCCAGAATACTCCTTAGAGGCAAAGATGGTGAAGCTTCATCTTTTATACTTTGGACGTGTTGCTGAGAGAGGCTATTCCTTGGAAAAGCACATCACATTTGGAAAGATGGAGGGTCAGTGAAGGAGAGGTAGGCCCGAACGAGAAAGAGTGACACAATGACTTGAGAACAGTGCTCTCTAGTGTGTCAGAGATGATGAGGACGACACAGGATATTCATAGGGTCACTATGAGATGTACTTTACCTGACAACACCAACAGCATAGCATGAGTCCTCCTGGACAGGAATTGAACTCCTCTTCCCCACATAGGAGAGAAGGATTCTCCTGGTGAACGCCCACCAAACCACACCTCCGGCTCATGGCAATCTTCTGTGTGCTAGAGTTGAACTGTGCACCACAGTGGTCTCAATGGCTGTGACCTTTTGGAAAATAGTTGTTTCACCAGGTCTTTCATTAACTACCAACCTTTAAGTTAGTAGCCAAGTACACTAACCAGTTACACCACGCAGGGGCAGAGGCCTCTAAATGTCTTACTGCCACCCGGATAAATGACATCCTTGTAGGAAGACTAGACTTTGCAGACCATGCATGTCTGTTATATGTTCATGTTGTAGTTTGAGAGTAGCTGTGGATAGCACATAAAGGAACAGACACAGCTGTGTTCAGGAATATTCAAGCTTTATGGACACTGAAATCGGAATTTAATACTTTTATTATTTCCTCCTGTTAAAAATGTAATAACATTTCTTATCCATAGGCTGTGACTTACAGCACTGAGATATAAAGAGAGTGCTATAGAAAATAATTGGGTATATAGAAAATATGGGTACAAATCCTCCTGTGGCTATTAGAAGAGCCCACGATTTTAGAGATCGAAGGGGCTCAGAGATGATCCACCTCAGCAGATCTTAAATTCAGCAGTTTAGCATCCACATGACTCTGATGCACTGTGCCTTTACTGTTACTGTTCAGATTTGCCACTTAGGGCTACAAATCTACTGGGAACAAGGTGCTGGTGGTCAGTTGCCCACCACCACCAGGGCATGTCAGAGCTGTTGTCCTTGCCTGACCCAGCAACTGCGTCTGTCCTGTCTCCCACTCAGGCAGGAGTGGAGTTTAGAGTGTTGGTGGGCATTTCATCATGTGAGGCAGTCTGCCTAGTTTTACACCCACTTTCTCCTGGGCCTATTTTCTAGAAGGTTCCTTGCACCAGCACCCTTTGTATTTTCTCTGTGTGCTGCCCCCTGCAGGCCACTCCAGCGATGCATGCCCTCAGGAAGCTCTGGTGGTTGCTTTCTGAGTTGCACAGTTCACTGAGACCCGAGGGTCTTTCCTTTTGATTTTTATTATTTATGCACCCTTGTGAACCAAGACCAGTGTAAACATTAGTCAATATATCCAGCTGGCTTCTGTCCTGGCTGTACCTGATCCACCCCCACACCCGCAGGGCCTTGGTGGTCCAGGGCTGTGTCAAGGCTGCCTCATTTGCTGGAAGGATTTAGTAAAAATGTTCCTTGGGAACAAAATCATGGAAAACTTTAGAACTAGCATGTTAACTCAGATTTTTCACTAAAGACTGGAGGACTATTTCATAGAGCTGAAAAATATAGTCTTGCAAATGTATATTGGCTTCTGAGTCCTTTTTAAAATTGTAATATAAAGATGCTGAGATTGTGACATAATAGAGAGTGTGGGTGTTGCAGGATAGGGCAAGGGTCAGATCTGTTCATGGGGTTGCCGTGAGTCATCGTCAGCTCACTGGTACCTACAACAAAAGTAACATACAGAGCTAAACATTTGCTGCAGCAGCCTTTTTTTGCATGTACATACTATGACATTTCTTTAACCAGATATGATAATTAAAGAAAATTGCCATATAAAGTTGTGTATCACACAGTTTACCAATAAAGCCTCAGTGAAGAGAGGGTGTGTTAACTTTCACCAATCATAATTGACATGTACAGAGAAAAGCAAGGTCGAGGAGGGCTCCTGGACCAGGAGTCTGTAAGACAAATAGCTGTTTACTTAGTAGTTCACTAATCATCCATTGAATGCATTACAGAGCACAGTTCTCTGACACACACGGGGCCACCGTGGTTTAGAGCAGACTCCATGGCATCTGGTTTTGGTTTCCCCAGTTGACATAGACCAGCACCTCTGAGCCCCTCGTGAGCCCCCAACCACCCTCTCCAGGTTATGGTGTCAGTGATGTCATCTTCTCCATCATCTTCTCCATTACATTTGCAGTGAAAACTCAATGATGCCCTGTTTCTCCTCTTCTGCCCCCCGCCTTTGCTCTACCTCCAAGGTCCATGAGCTCTTGCACTGAACCCAATTCATATTCTCTGGCTCCTTATAACAGATTCTCCCTGTCTGTGAACATGCATAGTGAGGTCCCTCCCGTGTCCCCCAACATCTTGCAAAGTCATCAGCCTATGTGAAGGTTGGTCAGCCTCTGGTCTGACTGTAGAGTTTCTCACATCTGGTACCAACAGCATCCCCACTAATGCTTCCCAATTGACCTCCTCCTGCATGTGAGCAAATCTGCATTTCTTTTTCTCTTTAGTATGTTCCGGAGGATCTCCTTCCAGTTTACAAAGAAAAGGTCGTGCCTCTTGCTGACATCATAACTCCGAACCAGTTTGAGGCTGAGTGAGTACTCCTCAACTGCTGAAGCTTTGGGGCACACGCCCAGGGAGGAGCGCTGTCTGTCTGCTGGGGATGGGGGCTCAGGTCACTGAGGGGTCCCGGGATGACTCTGCTTCAGTGTGCAGAGCAGAAGTCTGCATTCTGGGGAGAGGGTGGCTCCTCTCGTATTCCCCAGGTGTAGTGCAGCTCTGTGACCCAACCCTTGCTTTTAGTCTCTATCAGAAGTAGGTTGTTATGGACTGGGTTATATCCCTCTAACGTAAATGTTGCAAATCCTAACTTCTCTGCCCGTAGTTCTGATCCCATTTAGGAATGTGTAATCTTTCTTGTTTTAAAGAGGCAGGATTTATGTGAGGCATGTCTTCAGTCAGGCTCTCTTGAGATATGAAAAATTAAACAAGCAAGGGAACAAATGGAGACGGGGAAGACCGTCTCCAGTCCACAGGTTTCCCAGGAGGACTTGAAGCTCTAGAAAGACCAGAGCATCTTCTGATGTGTCTTCTCCTAGAGCTGATATTTGAATTCAGACTTCCAGCTTCCTTAACTCTGAGAAAACATTTGTTTGTTAAAGCCACGCATCTGTGGTATTTTTGTTAAAGCAGCACTAAAGAACTAAGACATGAATACAGACGCTTCGTTTTTCCAGGCTTTTTATTCTCAGTGTACTTAGATCATTTGCAAACATACGCAGAGTGGTTGAGCATTCTCAGCTGAGACTGGCAAGGCAGGTTTGAATTTGTCACAGTGACCAAGAGGATCCAAGTGAGATTCTGCCTTAGGTTGTGGGGTGGGAGTACTGTGCGACTCTGTTAAGAAACAAACTCTGTCAGCCTCTTGTGGCAGGATCTGGAGAGATGTCTCATGTTGTCGCCCTGCCTGTCTTGCAGGATACTGAGTGGCAGAAAGATCCACAGCCAGGAAGAAGCACTGGAGGTGAGGCAGACCTGCTGAGGATCACACACGTCTAGGAGGAGAGCGTGTGTGGGGCTGCTCACGTGGGGAGACGCCCACCCACCTCAAAGCTCTGGGGTTAAAGGGGGGACTATGGCAGGGATGCGGCTGGTCACCTGAAGCTCAACAGTTGTCAGGATGTTGGCTAATAATTGTCTCCTTGTTCATAATAGTGTTACCAGCATTTATTGAACACTTGCTTTGAGTTGGCACTTAGTAAATCCCATACACAGCTTAGCACTTAAACTGTGCTATCATGTTTCCCAGAGGCAGCAGGGTGACATCACCTCAACATGTGCAGTAACAGGTGTGTCCAGCACCTGTGACCTGAGTGTCAACAGGAGAAGGCCTAGCTCTGTGGGCAGCAGGGAGTGGTGCAGGCACCCAATACAAAAGCCTTGTAATGAGGGAGCCCCTTCTCCAGCCCACACGAGTCATGGGCACAACTGAGGGAGCCCCTAGCACCTGCTAGCACCTTCTAGTTACCGTTTCCTGAAGGTTGCTATAAAAATGGGCATCTGTTGGATTTCCCCCAGAGAAAGTAAAAACCCATTACCATCAAATTGATTCCAACTTAGAGTGACTTTATAGTGGAGGGGAACTACTCCAAATATTACAAGGATAAAAATCTTTACAAAAACATGACAGCTACATCTTTTCCCAGTTCACCTTAGGTTAGAAAGCAATCACTGTGCTGCCAGGGCTCCCAGAGACTGAGAGTCTAAATCAGGGTGTTGGCAGTGTTGATACCTTCTAAGGCTCTGAGTGAGAATCTGTTTCATGCTACTGTACCAGCTTTCTGTGGCTCCCAAGTCTTCCTAGCCTTGCACCTGTTGCATTTTATGGTGTCTCCTTGTCTTTTATAAAGCTGCCAGTAATAAAGGATTAGGACCTACCCTGCAGCAGTTCACCTCATGTTAACAATTAACCTCAATATTTTCAAACACGTGACATTCACAAATTCTTAAGTTAGGACTTGACACATCTCCTTGAGGGGCACCTTTCTGCTAATTGCATAGCTTATGAGAGATCAGGAAGGTAGAAGCTGTTGCTTGATGGAGGGAATGAATGTGTACATGGCTTTTGTCCCACGTGTGCCTTCTCCCCAGGCCTGACCTTTGAAATCTTTTTTTCTGGACTAAGGTGTGGCAGGTGCTGAGTGGAGCTAGCAGTCTGATGGTGCTCTTGAGAACTGGGACTGCTGCTCCACTCCAGAAAGCAGGGACATCTGAGATCTGAGACTAGGGGACAGTTGCCACTCTGTCAGCTTCTGCTTTTTCTCCTGCCAACAAGCCATACTCTGTGTCCCCTTCTGATAAAAAGCAGCTTTGCCAGAAAAGATATTTGGGGAGCAACATGCATGCTGGTTACATGTGGTGCAAGATGGACTGAAAGCTGAGCTAGAAGCTCCCATTGCCTGGGACCTGCCATTCAGCTCAGCGTGGCTGGAACCAAGCTCACTGCTACCCCTGCCCCAACAGGTGATGGACATGCTACACTCCATGGGCCCTGACACTGTGGTCATCACCAGCTCTGATCTTCCATCCTCGAGGGGCAGTGACTACTTGATTGCACTTGGCAGCCAGAGGACAAGTAAGTGCTTCCTGCACTGGGCCACAAGGGAAGATCCTTCTTCTTGGGTTTATTCAGCTCAGATGTCCTGGGTGCCTAAGAAACTGTTTGGGCTCCATACAAAGAAAGGGGACCTAACGTCACTGCTCGTGGGAAGGTCCCACTGAAAACAAAACCTGGGAAGGAAGTATCACTCGTGCTGTCGTAACTGGAGCCTAGAGCACAGGGTGAGGGCCTTGATTTATAGGCTTGTGCAACCTCCACCTGCTCCAGGCAGCACTGGTTACTCCACGGAGCAAGTGTTCACAGGCCTCTCCCACCCCATCCCCATTACCACAGCGCCAACTGCCTCACCTCCCTGGGTAGACATTCCCACTTGCTTGCTGACCGTTGTTATAGGCAGTCCCCAGCTTACAGTTGTCCAATTATATACAGCCTATAGTTGTAACTCTATTGTGTTTAAAATCTGAGGTGCACACTGCTATTCATAATAACAAACAAGCGGCACTTTTCAGTGAACATCACAATATTATTATTACTGCACTATTGTCAATATGTTTTCTCATAAATAGCTGGGAGTTTACTTTTTTAATGCATAGACAGGTATACTATATTAAGTCAAACATTCAACTAATTGTTGTTAGATACAGACTGTTATTAATTCTTCCAATGCATGTACATGGTAGATTTAATTTAGGAATGGAACTTGTTAGCAAACCTGTGTTGCCTGTATAAAATGCTCCCTGGGTTGATTTTCTGTGCATGCTAATAGCACCAAAGGCAGGAGACGAAGGCCTGAGATGGGGACCCGTCCGTACTCAGTGTCCCCTGAGGGCAGCACCGCCTTCAGTTCTGTATTTGGCCTCCTTTCCTTGTGTTGTCTTTGATTTACCAGTTTCTTGTGACTGCTAGCAATTCATGGCATTCCTGGAGTTGGACTCAGATTGTCAGGGTATCTGCCTCCTCAACCCCCAAAGGCGTTAGGTTTAGGGCCCACTCTACCCCAGACCTCATTCATATGACCCAGGAAGACTTATTCCTTATTTCCAAACAGGACCGTCTTCACAGCTGTAAGTTTTGTTGTTTCTATGTGCCGTCAAGTCACCTGCGAATCCTAGTGACACCATGTGCAACAGCCCTAAACCCTGCTCTATCCCGTACCAATCTCACTGTTTCCGACATGCCTATCCTCATTACCCCAGTCACTGAGTCAGTCCATCTCCCTGAGGGTCTTCCTCTTTTGCACTGTCCCTCCATCCTCCCAAGCATGACGTCCCTCTCCAGGCTGGTCAGATGAAGCTTCAGAATCCTTGCCTCCAAGGAGCAGCCTGGCTTAGAATTCAGCATAACATTCATTATACAACAGCATTAACATTCAGTATACAACTTCACCATAAAATCTTTCTCATGATTCTCTTTGGAAAAGGGATTGCAGCTAGGGGTAGCTGGGGACACCCTGGCACAAGGGTGGGTATTGGACACCTACCTGGATGAGACCACCTCATGCTCTGTCACTGGGAACACCTCTCCAACCTGCTGTGCAGGGGAGGCACGGGCCTTAGCAGGGCCTCTGTAGACCAGCACCTCGCTTACCAGCAGACCTTCTCACCTGCATCCTCCAGGGCAGCCTGATGGTTCTGTGAAGACGGAGCGGATCCGGATGGAGATGCGCAAGGTGGATGCTGTCTTTGTTGGCACGGGGGACCTCTTTGCTGCCATGCTCCTGGCCTGGACACACAAGCACCCAAACAATCTCAAGGTCAGTCCTGCCCACTGCTCCCCACAGTAATCTAGCCGCCTCTTGGGGAGAGGGGGACAAAACTGGTTTTGAAGTTCCAACGGGGAAAGGGGGACAGAACAGCATGCCTGATAGCATCAGCATCTCTGCCCAGTGCTGGCTTTGCTTCCACTCTGATGTAGAGAGGGTTGGCAAGGGGCCCGGGCCTCTGGAGTCTACGGTACACGTTCCATGTCCTAGTGTCTCACCTCCGCCACTTTCTCCCACTCTTGCCTCACCAGTGAGGAAAGTCACTTCACTGGCACATCCACTCCTGGGCTGCAGGGTTTCATAGGAGATTCTGGGCTTGGGAAGGTATGTTCCAGGGAAGCATCAAGTCATGTAAAAACTGTCCAGCTCTTAGCTCCAGGAACCGTGTTATGATATATACTATATATAGTATTACTATAACAGAAACACCACAAATAAGAATTTGTTTTCTCATAGTTTAAGAGACTCAAAACAAGCTCATTGTTGTTGAGTTAGAACTGACTCATTGCTGACCTTCGAATGGGTTTTCAGGGCTGTGAATCACACTGGAGGGGATTGCCCTGCTGGTGGAGTCAAAGCCCCAGAGAGACTCACGCTCTGGGTTAGCAGCACAGCTCTACAGTTGCGGCCACCACAGCTCTGCGGGAGGCTGGACGCTCCAGTTCAGGGGAAGGGTTAGGAGGAAGACCATTGTTTCTTTTGCTCCTGAGTCTCTTCCTGTGACTTTTTACCCCTTCCCCATCTCTGCCCCTTTTATATCTTCTTGAAATATACTCTACACTAATCCTATTTCATTAACATAACAAAGACAACACATTCCTAGATAATAGGCATAGAGGGGAGGATTTCTAGCACATCCTTTGAGAGGAAGACAAGCTGTTCAAGACAAGTCCATCTCGATGAGAAGAGATCCTAGTTTGGATAGTGAAGGGCTTGGTCTGGGTCTTCACTGCGAGGTGCAGAAACATTCAATTCATGCAACAGGCGAGCATCTGGAAGCATGCTGAGGCTCAGGGTCCTCTAATGTGAAGCCTACACCCTAGTGTTTTTATCCACACAAGCCCCTCCAGGGCAGATGGGAGGTTTCCAGGAGCAAGCGAGGCCCCCTCCCCTGTGAGCAGGGACCCAGATTTCACTGCTTTGCAGGTGGCATGTGAGAAGACTGTGTCTGCTATGCACCACGTGCTGCAGAGGACCATCCAGTGTGCGAAAGGTACTGCCCAGGGGAAGTGGGGACACCTCTTTTCTTTTTCAAAATGGTTACATGGTCACATGATAAATATGTCTCACGGGAAAGGCTATGTTAACAGTCTCCTGCTGTGAATGGGCCCCTGGCTCCACTGGCCATGTCCTCTAAGGCTGGGGATCAGTGCAGAAAATGCAGGAGCTCGTGTCTGACCCAGGCCTCAGAGATGGTTTTGGGGGGTGGAGGGGTCTTGGACGGGAGAGAGGAATGGCAGAGCAATGCCAGCCCCGTACATCAGCCTCTGCTATTAACGCTTTGCATGTTTTGCAGCCCAGTCTGGGAAGGGGCAGAAACCCACCTCGGCCCAGCTAGAGCTCAGGATGGTGCAGAGCAAGAGGGACATCGAGAACCCGGAGATTGTAGTGCAGGCCACAGTGCTGTAAGGCCACCTGCACAGCACCCTCAACGCACAACCTATCAGTGTCTTCGTCATTGTCCTGTGAAAACGTGACGTCTGCCCTAGAGCTGTGACTGAGACTTGATTTGATACCTGTTCTTCCTTGGGTGTCCAGCCTCCACTGTTCTAAATTGTGAAAAATGTGCTGGCCACACTTTTTAAAAATGTCAAGGCAATGACAGAAGGTTGTGGAAACCCAGCTGACCTCCCACCTGAAGGCTCCTGAGCCTTGTTTGGGAACTGGCTCTGGTTTATGGCCTCCATCAGGGTCGTGAGGAGGATGAGGTGTCAGTGTGCTGCTCCCGTGGCTGCACATAGACTGAAGGATGGGCCTGTAGGTGGGACCAACAGTCCTAAATCTGAGAATGACCTGGGTTTCTGCCAAATATCTTTATTGTCATTTTAATTAACGTTTGTCCCTGTATCAGTTTTTGTTTCTCTATTTGCTGCTCTTTGAGTCGTGGGGAGCTCCTGGAACTTAGTTTAACATAGTTTAACTATGTACAAAAGGCCTAGGTCAGCTGCCCTTGGCAGAATCTGTCCAGGCCGTAAGAGGGGCAGGCCTGTGTGTGGCACGTGCTTCCTCATTGAGCTCTAACACAGTGCAGGTTGGGTGGGCAGTAGGAAGGTGGGGGGGGGAGGGGGTGTGTTCCAGGAAATCACAGTGTCTGCGCCCTTTGGAGAACTTGCCATGTGACCCTGCCCCACTACTGCAAACAGGGATCTTCTGCATCTCCCCTCCCTTCATTAGCATATCTGACCCCCTGGGCCAGTAGCCTCACCCTGACCACCTGATCCGACCTCCACCTTGTGTTCTGTGCCAGTCAACAAGAAGACCTCTTTATCAAGTCAGCTGCATACTTCAGCCACTTAAACCCCACGTTCAGAGGAGAGAGGTGACGGCAGGAAATGAGGGATCATGGCAGAGTTTTGAACAAGAAGCTCTGGGATCCCCCACATCAGACCAAGACTTTTAAGGCCTTACTTAGCATTAGTTGTGACATGGTCCATATGCCCACTGCTTGGAGGTGACTTCCCTGAATCACTTTGCCAAGAGTTGGGACCACCCTCGGTGTAACTGCAGGTGGGGGTGCCTATGGTCCTGAAGACTTGGACTTGCCTTGATCTCAACACCCTCTGACCCCTCTCAGCTCTGGATGATGGTCTCTGGTGGGTGTGGAGATTAGAATTTTCCAGGAGCCCCAGGAACGCAGCAGACCTTCCCCTGCTCCATCCCCTACAGGTGGCCAGGCCCCTCCTGCAGAGCCAGCCTCCCATAAATGTGGTTTTAGGGGGCTCTCACCTACTCCTGGAGCTTGATAGCACATCCTCACTTGTGGAAAATAATGCCATAAACCAAGATGCTGCTTTCCCTGACCTACTGACCTACAACATTCCACCTTTTCACCTTTGTCCTTCATTCCAAGTGTCTTAACTCACATCTCTCCTTCCCACAGCACAGCCACAGCAGCTAGTGGACGTGAGGTTTGGCCTTGCTGGCCAGTGACTAGCATGTTAGAACATCCGTCCCTGCATCACGTTGGTTCATTCATTGAGTGTCCTTGTTGTTGGTTTCTCTCAAACACAGAAATTGCAGGCTCTGTGTCCCAGGCAGAGGTCCTGCTGGTGTCCCTGGGACACAAGGCTGTGACTAGTGACCTGGCAGGAAGTAGAGTCCAGCCCACTTGCCTGGAACATTCAAATCCTGTCACTGCCAAAGTAGGAACAAGTGAAGAGTACATTACCAGCCAATGAGAAATTCTTTGTCCTTTAAGAGCAAGTATAGGACAAGGAAAATAACCTAGATGTATCTCTTCAATAAAAGCATGAAAAACTCACCCTGAAAATGATAGGGGAATAGGGACTTACTGTGTCTATGCATTTATGTTTAAAGAACAGTCCTCTGGCAAACACTATTTGACTTTTAGTCCTTTTGACTTTAATTGAAGAGGATCAATCCTCAGGGCCACTTTTTAAAAAAAAATCTTGAATTATGTAGAAAATAATGGGAATATTCCACTGCAAGGCAGGAGCTCGCCTCGCATGAGCTGGAACTTCTCTGACTTCTTGAGTCTGGAAGGCTGTGAGGGTGTGGCTTAAGCCATGTGCACAGAGCAGGAGGGAAGCCAGAGTAGAGTGCAGGATGTATAAGGCAACAGTGTTAGCTTTTGCACACTGCAGATTGTGTGAAGAAATGCACTTTTCACCAGTGGCTGTGCAGTCCACATACCATTTCCACGTAAACTGACTTGGTCCACCCCGACTGAAGCAAAGCACCCGGGCTTGTCCTCTCAAAGCTGCCCAACTCAGAAACTAGCCCTGGTTCATGGAAGTCTTGGGATCCAAAATTAGGATTAATTTGCATATTTACTTTCCATAGTCTTGTACATGGTCATGGACCTCCAAGATAACAAAACAAATAGGTCTGTCTTGGAGAGGGTGAAACAAAGTCTCCCCTTGGAGGCTAGGATTTTAAAGCTCTGTCTCACTTTGGACCAGGAGAGACCAGTCCTTGGAAGGGTGGAGGGGCAGAGAAGAAGAGCCCAGGAGACGGATTGATTCAGTGACTCTAGCAATAGGGATTGGTGTGTCGGAATTAGTGAGACAGGCTCAGGGTTCAGAGCTCCTGTACATAAGATCGCTATGGGTTTCAGATGACTCGACAGCATATGCAACAACATAATCTGCAAAATAATGGCAATTTATTGTAAGATGAGAGACATCTTGGTCCAGAATCACCTGCTTACTTTCAGAGTATTGAAAGTATTTAAATATTTTTTAAATACTTCTTAGAGTATTTTTTATACCTCTTTTAAGGATAAACCAGAAAGTAAGATCTTTTTTTTTTTTTAATCATGCCTAGTCTTGCTAAGGTAATTGTATTCATCTTGATTTTTCCAATATATGTCAATGATTGTAAAAATGATACTTTGTTTAGTATCATTCGAATTGTTAGATCCAGTTTTTTAACCTGCTCGACTGTATAGGCAACTAAGGCAGGATTGGTCTAAGTGCGCTGATGAATTAGATGGAGGATTTGTTCTAATGTGGGAAGAGTGGACAAGGGTGGTGCCTACACTGTGATTCCTGAAGTGCCCTGATTAATCATCATTGTCACCAGCATCACTGTCACCACTACCAACTTCACTGTCATCGCCATGACCCTCCTCATTGCCCACAATAAGAGAATTGATGAAAGCTACCGGCCTCTCAGTCTTCATCTGACTACATCCTTGAGCAGTGTGTGTGTTGATGCTGACCAAGGCTCATCTCACTGCATCAACCCCATGCTCGCTTTTCAGCTGAAATGTGTGAATGCAGAGGTGAGGCATCTGGCCTCAGGAATTCTCTTGTGACCCATGTACATTCTTTGTCCTTGGATGTGAAAACAGCTGTTATGAGTCATCCATACTGATGTGGATCAGAGTCACCTGTGACCATGGGACTGGCCTGTATCTGGTATCAGAAAAGACAAGGGCCCCCTTCATTTTTTCTGAGCTCCAGCCCTCTCTACTGCACATCACCCTGGTGTTAGGATCATATCAAAGTCCCTTGTGGGCCCCTTTCCAGGCACAGAGCATAGAAGCTGTAATTTGTGAGTGATCCAAGCAGAAGACAGCAGATATAAGGCCATTGTGACTGCCTAACCTGAGTCCTGGTGGGACATGTGTCCCTAGACTTCCCCTTATAGGCAAGTGGCTATTGGGTCCTTGACCGGAGTCCAAAAGACTACACTACAGTAAGACTTTCCTGGAACATGTGCCGCCTCCCCCCCTTCCCCAGTCCTCACCCCCGGTATCTATCTTACAGGCGCCCTCAGAAGACCCATCCACCACCAGATGGTCTTCTGAGGGGGCCTGGCAGATAACACAGCTCAGACTGATGAGGTTCTCAGAAGGACCCCAGACTCAGGGAATGTTGACTCTGAGAGGCCGGGCCCACCCACTGGACTGCCCATGATGCTGGCCGGGAGAGCTCAGACACAATGGTGCCTCCTAAGTGAGTGTAATATGCTGCGAGTCTAGTGTGTATCCAAGTGTCTTTGCCATAGTTGCCTGTGGTAGAAGCTGACTCGGGCTGCCAGGGCGTTGTGCTCCCGAAGAGTGTTAATGAATCCCAGTTTTGTTTTTTAGAGACAGCACTGTGATTTCAGATTCCAGCTGCTTGTTCTGGCATCGGCCAGTGGAGGGACGGGGTCAGGCAGAGGAGAGATGGCCGCAGGGTCACGGCAGGGACCAAGTTCCCCCTGCCTTCTGAAGGGGGGGGGGGCAGGGGTCCAAGGGACCAAAACCCTGACGTGTCTGAGCACAGCGGCCACCTTGTTGAGTCAGGGTGGAACCCCAGTTTCTGAAATCATCCGCTCCTGTCATGTGTGTACACAAGCATGTGCACATGTGTGTCTACGTGTGTTCCTTGTGGTTGAGACCATCTACTCTTGGTGCAAAATGCTTTCACTTGTTAACATGTGAAAACACAGAAAAACAAACTTATGAACTGTTCTGCTGTTTCTGGTCCTGGAGTTTGTGCTGTCTGAAATAATACAATAATGTCTGTGTACCTAAGTCTTTGATACATGATTTTAGGTCTGACTTAGAAACTGTTTTTAAATATACATTGATGGACAGGTCCTCCTGGACTTCTACATTGGTTTTAGTCATTCTGGCAGAATAAATAGGCATTTAAGGGTTTTCTTGCCATCTGAGCCCAAACCCGCCCCAACTTCCCAGTCAGATTTATGAGGGGGTGGCAGGGGGCTGCTGTTAGGAATACAATCCCAGAGTCCTCTAGTCTGCCCAGTTAGGCTGTCCCAACAAAGGAAAGTCACATCCTAGTGTTGACTTGCACTACTGGGTCAACTTTGAAGCCACCAAGGTAATTTCTAACCCAAAACCCAGCCCTGGGGCTGGTAGCAGGAAGGAGAGAGTCGGCCTGACAGAGCCATTATGTGTAAGATGGAGACGGGGGTGGAGCAACACCTCCAAATGA